CAGTCTGTTACTAGTACTGAAAACATTTGTAAAGTACCAAATAGGCTTCCATTGTAAGGTGTCTCCTGCCCCAGGGGCTGGGGTTGGGAATGTTGCTGAGACACTTCATCAGTATGGCTTAAGTGGGGATTTCCCCATTGCTCCTTCCACTTTCCAGCTTTCCAATCAGAACTGGCCACGAGCACTAGCCACATGCACAGATTTGCGGCAGGTGCTTTAACAATCAGGAGGGAGCAGAAACTCTGGCCTGGCCAAATGAGTTTACTATTTAGGAATGAGTTGAAGAAAACCTAGTTATTTACATCAACAACATAGCAATCTGAATGTCTGACTAGGCTACTTGGGAAGGCAATTGGGAGGGGGTGTCATGTGTCCACAGGGTGGGCGGGATTGAAGACACACAGGAGTAACAGGGGCTTTGAGCACATTGTTACATCCTAGTATGAGAGGGTGATGAACTTGGCTAACTGCTACACACCAGTTTCTGTTGCCTAACCACTTCCAAACAAGCATGGATTTAGCTTTGGTTCTGTGGGCTAGCAGTTCAGGTTTGGTTCATATGGACAGATAGTTGGTTATTCTGGCCCAGCTGTGCTCACTCAGAGGTGTGTGATTAGCTTGCAGGTCAGCCAGGACTGGCTGGTCAGAGCAGCCTCAGCAGGGGTGTCCAGGATGCACCCCATCTCTGCTCCATGGAGTGCCTCATCCTCCAGGCTGCCAGCCAGGCTGTTCCTGTGACGGTTCTCAAAGGGTGCAATGCATAAGCCTTTGAGGCTAGACTCAGAACCATGCAGCGTCATTCTTTCCTGCACTTTACTGGCAGAAGCAAGATACAAGGCTAACTCAGATTCTAGGAGTGAAGTTATCTCCATCTGCAGCTGGAGGATGCTGTAGAGTCGCATTTCAAGGGCAAGGAATAACTATGAACACACTTACAAACACTACCTCCTCGTGCCTGTGCTTTGCAGAGTCATGAATATATCAAAAGTCCGACGTTCACCCCAACAACCGGCCGTCATGAACATGGACTCTTCAATCTGTACCACGCGATGGACGGTGCCAGCCATTTGCACGTGCTGGTTGTCAAGGAGTACGAAATGGCGATTTACAAGAAATACTGGCCCAACCACATCATGCTGGTGCTGCCGAGCATCTTCAACAGCGCCGGAGTGGGTAGGTGTCTGCTACGCTCTGCTCAGCACACCGGTGGTCTGTGCAGGAAGAGAGAACATTCTAGAGGTGAAAGAGTTAAACGTGTGACATCAAGCCTTTGGGTTTTGGACTTTGAAAGCTATTTTTATTTTTTTACTTTCTTGTGCATATTCTTTTTCTTGGTGTTATTCAATTCAATTCATATTTGCAGTGGTTAGAAAAATAAGGGGTGAGATCGATGAACATGTACACAACTCGGAAAGCCGCCTTTTCCTCTCTCTAGTTTTCTCTCCTGAGTTGATGACTACGGTCAGTGGCAGGTGACACCTGTTAGGACAATTGGAGCAGCTTGTCTGGGGGGCCCTGACCAGTGGGTCTCACTGGGCTTCCTGTGGTGGGGTGGTCAGGCCTGAGTTGGTGGGTTTTGCCTGTCACAGGTGCTGCCCACTTCCTCATCAAGGAGCTGTCCTACCATAACCTGGAGCTCGAGCGCAACCGGCAGGAGGAGCTGGGGATCAGGCCGCAGGACATCTGGCCCTTCATCGTGATCTCCGATGACTCCTGTGTGATGTGGAACGTGGTGGATGTAGGCTGTGCTGGGGAGAGAAGCAGGTGAGGTGGCCCGAGAGCTTTGCTGCTCCCCACCCTACAGACAGTGACACAGGAGCACATCCCTCTTCGAGGACCAGGGGCCCCTCTCTCAGAGGATGCTGTGGGCAGGGGCCAAAGCCTGGTGCAGCACAAGTGGACTCCCATTCCAAGCCTGGCTTGCTTTTAATTTTAAAAAATTGTTCTTCAATTGTGCAGAAAATCCCGTACTGCATACTAAGCATGATATATACATACAGAAAGGGTGGTATAATACAGCCACAGACAGGTTCACAAACTGAGCATACCAATTTAACTAACCCCCATATCAGGAAAGGGTCATCCTTCTGCAGAAGCCCCCTCCTGCCACCTGCAGCCCTCACCCTGCCCACCAGCCCAGCTGCTAACTCCTAGCTTGGGGTTTATCTGCCCTGTGACTTTAGGCAAACGGTGACATCCATTTGGGTTCGAGCCTTCTCGTTTCTGAAAGGGCTGTTAATGCCCGTGCTGGAAGTCTGTTGTGAGGAGTAACAGAATTATGGCCTGTACATGTGTTCAGCACATGGAGGAAGCAGGGTGTTTGGCCCCTGTGGGTCTGTGCTGGGCTCTAGCCACACTGGCCCGTGTGTGCCTGTGGTGCAGTCACAAGACCGGGGCCTCATCCGGCCTGCATGGAGGGCCTTGCTGCTGCCTGCATGTCAACCCCTGGGTCCCCCTCCCTCCTTCGCACAGGGAATTTTCCTGGTCAGAGCGGAACGTCTCTTTGAAGTACATCATGCAGCACATCGAGGCATCCCCCAACATCACCCACTATGCCCTGATTGGCCTGCGCAAGTGGTCCAGCAAGACCAGGGGCAGCGAGGTGCGTGAGCCCTTCTCCCGCTGCCA